AGAAGTTTAAGACAAATCCTTTACCCATTAGAGCTTCTTTGCTTGACTGCTACAAATTGTAGCCAGTTTCTCTTAGAAAAGATCAACTGCCAGATTTCAAATTTCTTCACCCCAAGTGGCTAAACTAAAGAAAAAATTCAATCAAATGTTGTTGATTTTTCAAGTCAAGGGGACATATAAAGTCAAGGCTCTAACAACCGAATTGGAATTTTAGGCTTCAAGATGAAAAAAGGCTTGAGGGAGGAGTCTCGTTAGAAGATTTCCTCTTTCGATCAATTGGTTTCGTATGATCAATGGATCAAACTGGAAGATTAGACAATAGGCGAAAGTTGAAAGAAACTCAAGCCAGGTTCCCAATTAATACATTTGAAAAGATAGTAACTAAGGTTTGAGTGTCATGCACACACTGTGAAAAGGGTGCAAGAAAAATGCAAAAAAAAAAAAAAAAAAAAACTCAAGCATAGAAAAACAAATAGAGTATTTAACAAAAACTGCTTAAAAGGATAGGAAAACTACTAGTTTGTTATAGCCCATTGAGAAATCTTGGATGAACGACATTGCAAACCACGTGACTAAAGTTTGTTTTAGTTAAGATGGATTCAACTCAAGCATGAACTGACCTTAGTAGCTCTTTCCCTATGTTTATGCGTGAGAGTCGGCAAGGCAGGGTCAAAGCAAAAATTTAAAATAAATTGTTATCGCCATTGTAAATGACTAGAAACTTCAATGATTTAAAATATATATTGGGATTTTCAAAACATAGATTGGTGTATTAAATTTGCAGGAACTAGGTTAGTTGGACTAAAATTAGGATTATTAGTTGATGATGTACAAATTGGCTTTCCTCACCACCTGTCAAGTATCAGTAATAAATACAGTAATTAATCAGTAAAGAGAGAAGACCAGAATTATAGTGGTTCGGTCAACGTGACGTACTTCCACTTTTAAATAGCTAGGGTCGCTGGGTATTTTATTAACTCAAGTGTAGGGAGAGTAGAGAGTTACAAGCTTAGAGGAGAGGAAAATTATGCTCAGTTGAGTGTGATGCCCCCAAAGTGTTGGTAGACGTTTCATCACTGAGAAGAGGAAGCTTAATGAATAGAGGCCTCCCAAGAAGGCAGTCATAGTCACTTTGTCATCGGGCTCCTCAACTTGGAGGACCTCCTCATTAAAACGAGTGAGGTATCTCTTTAGGCTCTCCTTTCGGTCCTACTTTCTGCTAAGTTGGTGGGTGACAAGCTTCTGGTGGTGAATCATTCCAATGAAATGTGACACAAAAGACCTACTCAGCTCAGCAAATAAGACAATGGAAACTGGGGAGAGCTTAGCGAATCATTGTCGGAAGGATCCCTTCAAGGGAGTTGGGAATGCCTTACACCTAATCTCACCTGGGACGTTGTGCAACTGCATCAGAGTTTTGTAGGTTTCGAGGGGGTCTAGTGGATCCTTCATTCCATCAAAGGTCTCCACGGATGACATTTTAAACTTTTGAGGGAGGGTGTAGTTCGCCACATCAAGTTTGAAAGGCGTGTCTATTCGCCTAACGAGGTAGTCCACAGTTTTAGGTCCTTGTGTCTTCATGGCGTTAAAAACATCACCTAGTTGATTTTGCACATCTTTTATCTTTTCGTCCCAGTAGTTGAGAGCTCATTTAGAATTATCATAGAAATGGCTTTCATGCTCCATGTTTGGCTCTCCCCCTCGCCCTCTTGAAAAAGAGGGTCTCCACCATGAGAAGGGGGAGCCGGAGGAGGGGGTGGAGGTCCCTCGTGGGGGGACCCCCCCTGTGTTGGGTGCTTAATGGGGCTCCCAAGGGTGGGGCGCCCAGATGAGGAGCACCCATGTGGGAAGCACCTTGACACCCAGGGCGAGGAGTTCCTCGAGCTTTAGGTCCAAGCTATGCTCCTTCTTTCCCAACGAGCATCAGTTGTAGGATTTGCTGGTTCTGGGCCAGAAGTTGCTGCATGGTCTCTAGCATTTGTTGCGCATGTGGGGCATGATTGGTTGATAGAGGAGCAACCTCATCCTCTCGTTATGAGGGGTTATCTTCAGGCTGATTTATTGATCTAGTGATGATCTCCATTGGTTCAGCAAATAAAGTGTTTGGAAGTGAGAATTTTGTTGTTTTCTACAAAAGGTGTCAAACTGATAATGCACAAATTGACTTTGCATACCACCTATCAAGTATGAGTAATAAATACAGTAATTAATCAGTAAAGAGAGAAGACAAAAATTATAATGATTCGGTCAACGTGACCTACGTCCACTTTTGATTGACTAGGGTCGCCGGGTATTTTATTAACTTAAGTGTAGGGAAAGCAGAGTTACAAGCTTAGAGAGGGAGATGAGCGTTGCGCTTAGTTGAGTGTGATGCCCCCCCAAGTGTTGGTGGACACTTCATCACTAAGAAGAGGAAGCTTAATGAACGAAGACCTCACAAGAAGGCGGTCATAGTAACTTTGTCATCGGGCTCCTCAACTTGGAGGACATCCTCGTTAAAACGAGTGAGGTAGCTCATTAAGCTCTCCTCTCGGTTCTACTTCATGTTAAGCAGGTGAGTGACAGGCTTCTGGTGGCGACGCCCTCCAATGAAATGTGACACAAAGGACCTGCTCAGCTCAGCAAAGGAAGTAATGGAGGCTGGGGAGAGCTTAATGAACCATTGTCAGGCAGATCCTTTCAAGGTGGTTGGGAATGCCCTTCACATGATCTCGACTAGGACGTTGTGCAGCTGCATTAGAGTTTTGTAGGTTTCGAGGTGGTCTAGTGGATCATTCGTTCCATCAAAGGTCTCCACTGATGGCATTTTAAACTTTTGAGGGAGGGGGTAGTTCGCCACATCAGGTTTGGAAGGCGTGTTTGTTCGCCTAACAAGATAGTCTACAGTCTCAAGTCCTGTGCTTTCATGGCGTTGAAAACATTACCTAGTTGATTTTGTACCTCTTTTATCATTTCGTCCTAGTGGTTAGGAGCTCCTTTGAAATTATCATGAAAATGGCTTCCATGCTCTGATTCTCCCCTCGCCCTCTTAGAAAAGAGGGTTTTCACCATGAGAAAGGGGAGTAGGAGGACGAGGTGGAGGTCCCTCGTGGGGGAACCCCAATGTGCTGGGCGCCGAATGGGGTGCCCAGATGAGGAGCACCTATGTGGGAAGCTCCTTGACGCCTAAGGCGTGGAGCTCTTCGAGCTTGAGGTCTGGGCTGTGCTCCTCTTTGCCTAGCGAGCATCAGTTGTAGGATCTGCTGGTTCTGGGCCACAAGTTGTTGTATGGTTTCGAGCATCTGCTGCGCATTTGGGGTAGGATTGGTTGGTGGAGGAGCAACCTCCTCCTCTCGTGGTGGGAGGTTATCTTCAGGTTGATCCATGAATCTAATGGTGATCACCAATAGTTTAGCAAATGAACTGTTTGGAAGTGAGAATTTTGTCATTTTTCACAGACGACGCCAAACTGATGATGCACAAATTGGCTTTGCACACCACCTGTCAAGTATGAGTAATAAATACAGTAATTAATTAGTAAAGAGAGAAGACAAGAATTATAGTAGTTCGATCAACGTGACTTACGCCCACTTTTGAATAGCTAGGGTCGCCAGGTATTTTATTAACTCAAATGTAGGGAGAGCAGGGAGTTAGAAGCTTTGAGCTGGAGAGGAGTATTGTGCTCAGTTGAGTGTGATGCCCCTCAAGTATTGGTGAGACTTACAATTTATAGTCACCCCTTAATAGATTGGGGCGACTTAATAACAACTAAATAACTATTCTGGTGGAGCTCGCGACTTCTTCTCAACGGGCGAGGTGGTTGGAGTGCTCTCCTTGAGATTCGGTCAAAGATGAGGTAAGGGTTGACTATTTCCAAGGCGGTGAAGGTGCGGCTCCTGGATGCTCTCTTGATGACGTAGCCAAGCTGATGAGTTTTATTGGGCCTGGGCCTCATTGGGCCTGCTGGGTCTTGATAAATTTGAGCTCTTGATTATGGTTGGGCTTTCAATATGGACTGTGCTGTATGGCCCTGGCCCATCATTAGCTACTAGCTACTGCATATAAATAGGTTGTAATCTTATGAGGATTCTGATGTATACTGTAACAACTGCTCTCGCAGACATAGATAGAATTTCCACTGAATCAAATTCATAACGATAACAAATTAGCGTAGCATAAAAACTTTGGGTCAACAGGATGCCTCATTAGAATGTCCCAACAGTAAATATTGCCCTTTGAAGCGGTTTCCATGCACATAGAATCCATGTCGAAATTGTACTTATTTGTTGTAGGGATACGTGAAATTTTTTTAGTCACAAAAGTATTATCCTTTATCTCGTATTTGGACAGAAAGCATCTAGTCATCTATGCATTAGCCTTGCAACTCTTTGAAGTACAATCATTAAAGGCTAGAATTCTTGCAAACTGAGAGGATTGAGGAAACATATAACTGTTGGAAAATCCAACACACAATCCCACGTCGAAAGGGTAAGAAAACAAAATAGGGGTTTATTTATAAATATCGAAACAAATCACTCTCAAGTTGAAGATAAACTTTTGGGTTCATAACTGAATTTTGGTAGTTCATGCACTCAAAAGAAGAAGCAGGAGGGCTCATATCTGGGGCACTCAAACACTTGGAAATGAGGCACACCACCATTCGAGCAAGAACAATTCATTTTGGGCTCATTTTTACTCTCGGTCGCCTTCTTCGTTTCACCAACTGCTCTGACGTGTAAAACCTCGGCAATGATGCAGACACCACCCCTGAAAAAAAAAACACAGACATATGATTTGTATCACACAATAATTAGGGCAAATTCAAGCAGCTTGAACTTAGCTTTGGTTCGATCCATTTTTCAGCTCATTCAAATTACGCAATCACCGAATCTGATCAAATTTCTATGCTCTTTTTATAAACGAGTTGCATTTGAGTAACGTGTGGTTCGGTTCAAATAGGTTTTTGTCTAAAACTGCTTCTAATTTTATTGTCCAATAAAATTCTTTTTTTTTTTTTTAAAAGGGTGCCACAGGAGGATTTCACGTGGGATCACTCATCCTAGTACTAATCTCAACCAAACATGCTTAACTGCGGAGTTTTGATGTAATCCAATGCATTAATTCTCTGGTATGATTACAACCATTGTCAAATAAACTTTATTTTGATGGTAAATGACCCGAAGCTTAATCCTCCGCTAGCTTTGGATCATTGACTTCTCTTTCCCTCCCTTCTTGAATAAATATTTTTTAAATCTTTTTGAAAAGATTTCAAAAATAAGCTTATAGGGTTTTGCTTTAGGCTATATTAACTAAATTTTCAAAAAAAAATTGTCCAAAAATGATTAATTTGGGATTGATTATTAAATCTATTCTTTAATTTTTACAAATTGTGGCTGAAAAATTGTGTTCGATTTTGGCTAGAGTTCGGCCAAGATGCTTGCAAGTTTGTTTTATCCAAGATTGAGTGAGACTCTAAACTCGACATTTGGTTTCGGTTTGGGTTCAAGCTTTGTCAATCACAATCAAGTCGAGCTTAAGCATACCTACACATAATGTCCTTCAAATAAATAGAGTTAACTTAGAATCCAGTGCAATTTGGGGCCTAAATGCTTGATCCTTGAACTGTTAAAAACTGCAAATTGAACCAAAGATAAAACAATTCAAATAAAAAAAAACAAAAATAAAAGGCAGAAAAGTTATCATTACCAGGGAAACCAACTGCAATGGTCATGGCCCTTGATTTATTTTGGGCGACAATTGAATGGAAATCACTGCGTTTCCCTTGTAACCGACAAAGTATATGAAGCGCAAGACATGAGCTATTATCGTCATTGCCTTGTTCTGCGACATCTCTCTATTCATAGGCACCTTAATGATCACCTTTTTCTAAACAAAAATAATTTTGAATCAGCATATTATTATTTTCTAGAATACTACAAGTAATTTATTTTTTTGCAAGTATAATTTTTAAAATAGAGCAATTTCGTGAAAGAAAAATAAATGACGTAGGATTATTATCCCTAAAAGAAACAAGATTTTTTAGTGACACAAAAAAGTCGTTGCTAATATCCTCAGAATTGGTGGCAAAGTCGCAACTAGGGTGGCCTTTATAGGTATGCCAGGCATTATCTTGTGGCCACTAAATATCAAGTTTGAATAGGAAAATTGTATTTTTTTTCCCACCAACTCTTGACTATAGCTAGCAATGAGATATATATCACCACGATTTTTTTTTTTTTTTGGTTCAACGTTTAGAGGTGTCTTGACCAGCTTATGTGTTTTATTAATCCTTTTTCCGATCCGGTTTAAAACAAGTCATCCACTTATTCAAGAGTTGCTAACTTAGAATATCTGAGTTTACAGTTGTCCCTGTTACTATTTGAACTACCACTTAGAGTTATATATAGCCACTAATACACTTATTTCTTGTAGATTAGAATTGTAAAATATATTGTAAGAGTGATCTATGTGCATTTTCATTATACAAATTAATGCATTTATATGTATGACTCCATACTACATGTAAGCAATTAATCTTGGAGTAAAAGAGCAAATTTGCAAAAGATTTTTTATTTTTTTTTTGTTAAGAAAACAAAACTACACAAGAAACGGTACCTAAAATAATACTTAAAAAAATAAATGTTTTCAAAAATAATATGAGGAAATAATATCTAATTATACCTTCATCGTCTTGGTTGGTGGATAATGAGAACCCTCTGCCAGGGAAAAGATGGGCGTTTGGGTCTCTTGGAGAGAGAATTTAAAAGGTGTATTGCACATGAAATGCAGTGAGAGACATGTCCATTGTTTAACCTTGTGGGTGTAATATAAATTCTGGAGGTGTGGAATCATCCATGAATTATTAACATCGGGTAAATCAAAGTTCTTTTATGAGAATCTAGCTTGAGATATTAGACCAATAACTAGGTTTTTCTATGCTTAAACCTATAGCCATAGATGCAATTTATGATGTCCAAAGAGAATAATTGTTCATAGGAAAATCTCAAGCATTTTTCGTACTTTTTTCCTTCAACAATTTGTTTTGTTTTGCTAGGAAAAGAGAGAAAGGGAAAACCGTCACAGGGTGATCGATGATGACTTAGTTGTGGAAGTTTGGAACCTAGTAGGCAATTACACATTACTTCGATCTTATGATCGTTAAATATGAGTTTAGATAAGTGCATAAGAATTTTTAGGTACTCTTTTCTTAGAAGTTGATTTCTAAAGATGAGTTCTACCTATGAATTCCTAATAATTTGTATGAGACTCGATCACAATTACGAGATTATACTTGGTTACAATTCTTTATTTTCACAAAAAAAAAATCCAATCTTGTTGGGATAACTCAATTAAACTTTATTTTAGAAACTAAAATCTCGATTTCAATTCTATTTCGTCATATACACGTATAATTTTTGATCGGATCATCGATCAAAACTACCAATCCATGGTGTTAACGAGAAGCCAGGAATATATTGCATTTAACCACAAGTTTTATTTTATCTTCTAATAGATAAAAATAATGTTATACATTTATGTTTTTTATATCATATTCAATGCTTAAAGATTAATTAAACACAAAAGGGCCAAAACATACATAGTCTATCAAAACAAAAAATAACCTTTTACAAAAAAAAAATTAGGTTAATTATAGTTATTTACAATTGATCCCGACGAGTCTTCATATTTTGAAAGCATTCCATGGTAACTTTATCATCATTGCTATCAAAAATGATAATGGACTGGGCTAATGATTTTTTTTTTTTTACTCAACTTTTTTTTTTTATCAATAGTATTATTTGAACCTAATTTATTACATAATTAATTTTGTTGTGGGTCCTAATAAATAATTAAGTCTACTGCAATCCAATGATTAAGTTAATAAATTAAGTCAAAATAACAATACTTTTTTTTTATTATTAATTTTAAGAGATTTGATACGACACATATCATTTTTCGTTCCTAAACTCAGCAGATTTATTCTCATATCTGTGATTGGCAAAAGAACGGACCCAGTTTTAATTTTTTTAATTCATTAGGTGGGCCCAATTAAAGGTATCCAAAAAAATATACAAAATGTACCTAAGTATTTTCTTCAATGGAAAGTGTTGCTTTCCAACAAATACATATTAAAAAGCCGTGTTTGATCATGCGCCATTCAGTGTGAAAAAGGACTAGTCTGTTGGAATTTTTTTCTATATTAAACTGTCATTAATTGATAGTTAATTTTAATTTGTAAAAAATAGACTGAATTTATAGTCCAATAAGATGAGCTCAATATTATTAAGTGATCTATTTTGATGGACTTATGTATATCTTTTAATTAATGTGGTTGAGACGGTTAAGTGTAGACCTTAATCTAATTGTGGTCCGTAATAGGAGAGTCCATTAAATTTCATTATAAATAACAGGCTAAATCCCCTCTCCACTTTATAACCCTAAATTGGCTTGTCTCATTGAAAGTCGTCTATTGTTTTGAAGAATAAGAGAAAGACCTTGCTCTTTTAGCTAAAGAAATCTAGAGATCGAGTATCCTGATTTATACAGGTATATTCTAAATTTTGTAATTTAGATATTCTAAATTTCATATACGAATCATTAAAAATTTTTATATGTGGTATTAGAACCATCGTATATAAATTAAGAACCCAATAAAATTTATGTATAATTTTATTTATATAATTTGAAGACTTCAAAACTGTTTTATTTTGAAACGTTGGCGGCACCGAACTACTCATACAGTCGCCGTCAATATGGCCAATCAAGAAACTGGCACCGATCATATCCGTGATTTTCTTGGCATTACAAATGTTTGATTAAAAAAAAAAAAGCAGCCCACGTGTTTTACTTTTGAAGTTTGAAAAGTCATTAACTACTTTTTCATTCTTTATTCTTCCCTCCAAATTATACACAGTTACTTTGTTTAATTATTATGTTATTTTAAATGGTGGGATTACTATTTTATTTGATTATGTCGTATATTCGGTCAACTTATTAAATAATTATTGGTTATTTATGAGTTTTGTTGACGATACCCATACAAATTACTAATAGCAATGAATTATTTTATTTTATTATGATACAATTTTATTGAATTGCTATAATTTATAGAGTATTTGTACAAATCTAATTTTAGTCCTTGGTGATTTATATGATGAAATTTTTTTATGATCTACATATTATTTATTAAATGTTGGTAGATGTGAATTTAATTACTTAATTTTCAAAAGTAAAAATAGAATTGAGACATGAATACAACGATTGATAATGAGTGATCTAAAAAGATACATTTTGGTTCGTACCTCATATTGATTGATCACATAATATTTAATTATGGGCATTTGTTATAATATCCTGATTTGAAAAAATTCTATAGATTGATATGAATGGTTGCCACAAAAATAGTCTATTTATTAAAATTTATAAGTTTTCTCATACTTTTGTTACGGGATGGTCTATAAATTATAATATATAATTACCTGCCCAAAGGGGATTATTCTATATTGTAATTCAAAGATGTCATGAAAATATCCTTGTTTGAAAAAATTTTATAGGTTGAGATGGATGGTTACCACCAAAGTGGTCTATTCATTAAAATTTATAGATTTTTTTCATACTTTTGTTACAGGATAATCTCTAAATTATAATATATAATTACCTGTCCAAAGGGAGTTGTTGTATATTATAATTTGGAGATGTCATGAAATATTGTGGTAGAGATGCAATAGTCTAGAAAATTTATCTGCCCAAAAGGGATAAAATTTTTGAAACTTGAGCATTCTCATTGGTTAGTTTTATGAAAGAGATAATCTATAGCATATTGCATTCTCTGCCCAAATGGGAGTTTGTAGTGATGTATTTGGACTCTCTTAATAAAATATGACTTCTTATGTTCAAAGCATATTTTATTTACTTATTGCCCAATTTTGCTAATGGTTTATATTCTCGTTGTCTTGAACAGTCTCTTTTGCTATGAATAATAATAATGCCAACATTGAAATCTTGATTGGTTCTAAATTATAAGAGATGGAAGCAAAATATTAAGTTTGCCCTGAGAATTGCTGATATAGGCTTTGCCTTGAAAGAGAATGAATCTCCTAAACTTGATAGTGAAAGTTCCCCTAAAGTAAAAGAACTT